AAGTGTAGACAAGTAGGAATGAATTAGTGGAAAATAATGGGAGCATGGACTGTGGTTTGGGCACCCATGACTATTACGAATATTAAGAAAGCCTCAAATTGGGTGTATGTTTCTTGATAATTAGTTTTGTTCAGAAACTCTAAGAGCATACCATGAGTTCTGGTAAAAGTAAATCCCTATTAGACAGAGACTTCAGCAAGTACATAGTGTGGAATTCCCAAACTGGAGATAACCAGAGATGAATTGTTTAACGAAGAGAAAATCGTCCGTGAATTTATGGTATTTTGTTCATTTACGACAAAACTCCGGTACACTAGGCACCATAACAAAGTGGCATACAAAATGTAACGATGATATTGTGAAGAAATAAAAAAGACGTGTCTTGAAGCTAGGAAAGTTCAACACACTTTATCAACGGTGAAGTAAAAAATGTGTTACAATATTTCCATCGGTTTTATTCTGGTCTATATCTAATAACCTGTCAAGACAACAGGTTACATTATATCTGAGACTCGGTCGTGTATGGTGTAAAGGCTTATTTATACAGGTATACTTATTAGAGTTGATAATAACAGTTTTTGTAAGGGTAGCCTGATACACAGTGGAATTTACGGATGGATAGCAGATAGGCTTTTAACTCAAGCTAAAATTGACATGGGATGTAGAGTTCTTCACAATCTAGTCAATCACCAAAATAAAAAGGGAGTGTAAGGAGCTTTGTCTGATACTGACCCTCACTTTGAACGCATCTGTCAGCTGTCCTCCATGCAGGACTTTGCAGTGTGATCGATCGCACCAAATCTGCGCGATGTTGACCAATTTTCGAGGTACACCATCGTGTCGAAGACGGTTTTATAAGGTCCTTCCGCCTATGTTATCAAATGCTTTCCCATAGTCAATGAAGTTGAGGTATAGTAATGAGTTCCATCCAACTGATTACCCAACAATGATCTGAAGCATCGCGATTTGGTTTGCACAAGACCGATCCTTACTGAACCCAGCCTTTGGTAAATGAAGACCCGTCAACTACCACGGCCGAGTTTCAATGGACTAAGCTATTTTTCTGGCAAGCGCTTTTTTGAGCAAGGTTGCTTTCTATGGAATGGTTTGCTGAATCCATCTTCAACACTATTTTTTCCAGGCTTGTTACCGGCAGTAACCATGGAAGGGCTACAGGTGGGGTTACAATAAGGTATACAAAAACAGGACACAACACAAGTAAATTTGAACAAAAATTTGAGGAAGATGCAGCACATTTAAAAAGTAAAGACATTAAAATAGCTAGGAAAGATTGCATAATATGACAGTTTAGTTAAAATAGAAGACAGAGGATTCATAATTCACTTAGTTAAAGTCCCCTTCACTATCGTGAAAAATTCTAAGAAATTACGGCAAGACCTCCAGTGTTTAATATTCTGTACGTTTGATTGCGGCTCAAACCAGCGAGTTGCATCACCTCTAAAAACTCAACCAGGGAACCATGATAAACAGCTCTCCATTTCGTAGCATCACGCCGTAGACCGACTGCTTCCTCTCTTTTCATCAGTTACGTCACCATCAGCACTCACATAAACATCTAGATTCTCAACCCTTTCAACTGCCTCGTTTGTTGCTGTTTCCAAATATCGATGAAAAAGTCGAAGAGGACGAGTGAAATTGGGCATCAGTGCAACAATATCGGTGACTACTGCATTGAAAATTGGTACTGGGAAGAAACAGGTTGTGACCTCCGCAAAGCTCAAAGAGACAGTCACCCCTGTCTGACATGGAAACAACGAGTCCCTGTTGGCTACCAAGCGGTTCTACTCTGTGTATAGACGGTAAACCTGTGCTTCGAATCCCCGGTTAGTACTACAATTTCTGTCGAACGTGCTTCACTGACATCGTTTATTTGATGATGGAACTCATCCTCGATCGCATCTGGGCTGCAATCCGTGGAGACGTAGTCGAGGATCACGAAACGACATCGTCCCACATGCCAATTTCTATCCACTTTGGTGGTGTTTTGTAACCAAACAGGACACACGACTGACAATGGGGACCCGCTCGACTAGTATGACCTTTACCCTGGCGCTTTCCGAGTCACCGAGACCGGATATTAATTCAACAGGATCCCCCAATAAGTCAGTTTGGATGGGATGTGATTTCGGGAAAGTTGCACCAAGAACCGTATTCGGAAGAATTCAAAATTTTGGACAGAGACTTGAGATCATACAGAAAAATAAAGGAACACACGAAATGGAAATAATGAGGCATATACAAGTCACGTAAAGTAAGAATGGATGTGACAAAACAACTGTGAATAACAATGAGGAAGGGCACCTTCCAATAGTAATTATCGTATTTTGTCTCAAGTGGGATACCATTTACGTATTATGGCTAAGGAAACTGGCTTACTTAGTGAGTCACTCTCCGTGGCTTTGATCTAGATGATTATCGACAAATCAGTGGAGCGACACAAGGAGTTAGCATCCAATAACTGCGCGTGACCAAAATCAGATTCCTACTTCAATCGTTCTTTCGAGGTCTGGAGCCGCGTCCTCCAAACTATATGGTTGAGTGCTTTGTATTCAAAAACTCAGTTCAAGCGCATGATAACCATTTTTCGTTCTGTCGGTCTAAACAACACCTCCACCGCAAAAAGGCAGTAAGTAGGACTTCCTGAGGAGGGGTTGTAAACACATGACCTCACGAGAGCATTATGATATAGTGAACTTACTTTACTTTTCGAGTGAACCAGGGCATTCGGGAGGTATTACCAATTAAGAAATAAGTCGCGTTTAGTAATTATAACTACACAAACGTATGGGGAATCTCCGACTAGTGGAAGCGTTTATTTTGATAGTACACAGAGCCACACGCCTCTACTCGCTACTTGTAAGGGTAACATACAGATGCGTCCACTACATATGAGGCACTTTCAACATCCTATAGAACAGAAAAATGTATTTCTGAAAGTGTGAGTCGCTCTAATTTTTTATCAACTGGTGCACTACAAAAATGTCACCTCATGACTATAAAAAAATCTACCTAATGCCTGGTCTCTTTTACATTATCAAGTCCTGTCCTTGTAATGAAACTTGGGGATTTTGTCACTGATGTCTTTTTCAATAACAAAATGCCCTAAGCTGGGAAAAGTGCCAATTGCAAGACCCAGAGAAAGAAGTGAAATGACTAGTCGTATATTAAGTACAAAGCACAATACACTATAGATGCACGACAAGTCTGATGGAAGTGCAGTGAAATTATTAAAATAACGTGATTGATTCACCTGGTGAGTCACAACGTACATGCTCTGTTACCCATAGGTTGCAATTATAGTTGCTGCTGACTGGCAATTCAGCTTTGTCCCATACGTAAACTGTAAGTGTAGTAATCAAAACGAGGCGCAGTTTCATCAGCGTTGTATACTTACACCTAATATTGGTCACTCATAAAAGTAGACGTCAGACTATAAGTGACAGCAGCCACCTACCAATGTGAAAAAGAGGAATTATAAATTGCACTTGTTTGGTAAACTAACCGTAAACTCTTATAAAATAACTTCCTGGGAAAGTTTTGATGATCTGACTACAACTTACTAAATGTAAGCTGACTACCACAAATTCCAACACCCCATAATATGAGAATTTTAGCTCTGTACGCATTTATCTCAAAGAATTCGACTTCATGGGTTTAAAGATTATGAGGCTCAGATGTTTTAATTCTGATCAACAGTATATTTAATGGGATATTGCTGAGACTGATAGAACTATCTGGAAGATTATGGCATACAACATAGTCACAATATACAAGGAGAGGACAAATTCCAGTACAATAACACGATCACAGTCAACATAACTCGAAAATCTCTTATGATTTTAAAATATTGAGAGTACTACAAATGCACTTCTATGCAAGTTACCAAGATATTTTCCAAGCATATCGTTCTGTATCTTAACTTAAACCGGTTGAACAAAAAGTTTTTAAAATAGTAGAACGGAGGTGTAAGATGCCGAATTCAGAGATTAAAAATGAGACCAAATTAGGTAGTGGACATCAGTTAAAAATGTCTGTCTTCGTATCTAGGTAATATTGGAACATAATACTTGGTTTCATGGTAAATATCAATTCTAAATTAATGTACTATTCACGAGTACTTGGAATTAAAGTATACTTTGCTGAGTTACAGATTCACGTCCTAGAAGTACACGTTGAGATTGTTCAACGCCGAGAAATTCACTGTTGTCGAAAAAAATTATTGACCCCTAAGCGTATTTAACGAGTATCCAACCAATTCAGGGCCTAGACCCAATCCAATAAATTAATTGTGTATCGTAGGGACTAATGATCTGCTACAAACCACTACAAATAACTTTACCATAAATATACGTCACGGAGCTGGTTTGAACTTTAACAGAGTAATTAACAAGTCAGAACCAAATGCCTGGAATCTAAATACAATGCGACAGTGACTCCTGAATGTTTTTTGAAGACGATAATATGACGAACAAATTTAATTTTGGCTGAAGGTTAGAAAAGTAATAAGAAACACAACAAGCCTAGCTAAATTACTATTTGTTTCTGAAAGAGATACGCTATTATTTAACTCTAGTCCTGTTAATATGTAGTTAGATGACTAGACCCCAAGAGACTATTATTTATCAAACATATGTAATTGATCAGACTTCAGAGACGTATTAATAGCCCAGACTGTTTGATGGCTTAATGAACTTTAGCGGTATGAAGAATTCCCACAAGTAATATTGGTTTATTAAAATATGTTCCTGACATCCCAATGTCGTTTTTATTGGTATATCTAAGAAAAACAATTTCCACTATTAAACTAATGTGCTCTCATTGCCTCAAGACCAACCACAAAGGCTATCTCCGGCAAATTATTCGAAGCACCTCGAGGATGAAACTACGGTAACTACAATGGTTGGGAAGACGTGAAAATGCTAAACCTTATGAGAAATAAATTCAGCCCATATAAAAAAGTACCTAATCAAAAGACACTTAACAAAACCAAATAGCACGTTATAACCAAATAGCAACGACAATCTTAGTAGTGAATACTAACATAACTAAGCACCACGTCACATCGAATCTGGCCAAATGTATGGTAAGACTCGACAAGCATTACATAAGCATTTAGGATTGTCTCTTTAAAGTTAGGTATAATTAGGTTGTATAATGTTACGACCAAGGACTGGGTTTGATGTAGAAATATTTTCATAACGATGGCTGATGTATAATGATAAAGCAATTAGATTAATTTAATTCATTCAAGACGTTCTTGGCTCATCCTTACACACCGACAAACTTTTCTCTTGAACTCCGCAAAATCTTCCCTGAACTCCTTCTGAATACAAAGACAAATTAACATGCTTATCGAGGACTTACAGCTGCATCAACATTGGCAGGGCTGTCAGGATTAGGCTCAGCAAGCATCGAAATAACAGAAGTAATAATTGTTTCTACGGTATGCACAGGAAGCCATCTTTCCTCGGGCCTTTCGTAGCCCCACAGATCTTTTCCGGGGTGATGAAGAATGGAAATACAAACATCTCCGTCCTGAGCAATATTTGGATGCCAGATATCAGTTACGAACCGCATTTTAGGAGGGCGCTCGGGGTAGTCTTGTGGAAAGTCCAGCTCTGCATGAAAACAACCACCCTCACTAAAAACGAAGACTAGAATTATTGTAGCTTACTAAAGAGTATCTGGTGGACCAATGATAAGCACTCGCCATTTGAAAATATTGTCCTCATCAACCAACCCCGCTGAAAAACCTTCAGTTGCGCTTTTGTTCAGTTCTGCAAATGATTAAGAAAAGCGTGAAAGCCATTGAAATTTGAAAAAAATCAACAGTTATACTTATTTATAAGGTCAACTAACCATATAACTGTTTTTTAAGCGAGAGAGCAGATAATGAACTACACATGTTGAAGTTCTGGGGTCCCCGATGTTAAAAACCGCGGCCACGAGTAACGCAAAAATTGGAACAAGAAACCTTGTAACAGCATGAAAAATCATTTTGAGTAATGTTATTAATGTGAATCTATCTCTTGTTATAAACCAAAAAAGTGCAAATGTGCTGAGAGAAGCAGAAGTCTTGAGTAAGCTGGACTCACAAAATGATGCATGAGACTATTTTATAAAAAAGCTTTTACTTTTGTAATGGAAACGAGTTGTCCTATTTTCTAAACGTACATGCGTTGTTGCTGGTACATCATGTTCTTCCTCCTCAGATATTCACTGATCATTATTTGTGCTTTCGTTTTTAGATTTCTCCTACTTCCAATTAGACGCTAGATGGTGGTTGGAAGTAGTCAACAGGAAACCATGGGCCCGGGTTTCGTGCTACTTGGCACTCATCAGCAAGGTGTACCTGTAATATTGAGGGACCTGGTTCCCACTGCCGGATTCGATCCCGTGTCGCTCAGCTTCACAGTCAGAGACGTTAACACCGGGATATCCGGGCCACGATCGACTGTACCGCGTAATTATCATCTGTGAAACAATTAATTGGTATTACATAGCTCGACCATGTAGGTTGAATCACCCTTGCTTTTCATAACGAACATATTATTCTCTTTCCAGATCAAATTTATTTTTCAAATGACCTTGACAGCAACTACTGACCGTCACTAATGGACGAGTCAGACTATAATTTTATTTCCACGTATGGTCTAAAGGATTAGTTAGTCACAACATGGCAGTTTTGTAGTGGCATTGGACAATAGCCACACAATCCACAAAGCTGTGAACACGAGACTACTCAGAAAATAGATATTCAATATTTAACGCGGAGAAATACCTAAAAATGGAGAAGGCGCGAACAATGAATTGAATGGACTGGGGTTGATCGAGTGGCATGGCTCGGCCATGCAGGCGTGGTCTCTATTCATATTAAATATATTGTTCCTTCTCTAACCTAACCTTCTTCTTCATCATGTATTGGTAATTGATACGATACAGTGAGTTGGCGTAGTCGATGGTGTGACTTCCACGTAAGATCTTATAGATTAGGCAGTTATATCATGACGAATCTACAAATTTAGGATTAGGTCTATTATTAGAGCAGTACTAATATCATAGTAGACCATAATTCTACATTGGTAAGCCCGACTAGAAAAACGCAACCTATTATTATTAATCCTTATTTCCACTTCAACTTTCTCGTTCGATTTTATATTCATGTTAACACTATTCTAATAGTCCTCTGATTAATGCTCACATGCATTATCGTAATGTTATATTGATTAGTCCTCATGACAAACTAGCTCAATCGATAATAAAAACTGGTCGTCTATATAAACTAATTAGCTTTGATGATTTGTTAACAAGCTGTAATAGCATTTACATGCTTCAGCGACATAGTCTTGTTTAAACATCAAGCTCTAGCAAATATGACCTGTAAATAACGTAAATATACATTGACTAACAATGCGATCAAGGACTAAATAGTTATCTGGATCTAATTCTCAGTGTTCCTTCACTTAACACCTCATCCTGTTTTAAACGATGCACTATCCTGTAATATCTTTTCTTCTGACCACTGCCTGCCTAATTTCATATTCTCGAGTTCCATTGCCAAACAACGAGGATGACTACTCCAAAAACATACGGTGAGTTTCAGCCATAAGTTTTCTGCAATGATTTTTAGATGGTTCGTTCAATGACAACCATACAATTATCTGGATTTATTCGATTGTTCTGATCCGAGCGAGTTTCAAAAACCTCAACAGCATCAAGCACCCTGGAATTAATTGCCATATTGCATGTTTTATTCTGGATGCTTTTGGATCAATACTACTCACGAATGGCGTTATATATGTCGTCCACTGAATAATCTAATTTTCAAAAATAATCAAGGCGAGTTCAACTATTTTACTGGATGATTTTTTTTGTACTTAAGATGTATATGTTTTCCAGTTGCTTTTGCCATATATTTGTAAGTGTCACTAAGCTAAATGCAGTAACTTCTTATGGAAGGTTTATAACGCATCATATTCCTGCCTGAAATTTCACCAGCAGTCTTAACTTTAAAATTATTTATCTGGTCATGTTCATTATTTTTAAATTTTTATATACGTCAACAACCTGCATGCTAACCTGGCCCGTACATATGTTTTACTATATCTTCATATCTTTTGAATTTAGAAATCATCTGAATCGCCTTTAACATTTATCAATAAACCCATCATAGTCGTTGTTGCTAATCGTATTTGGGTTTATGGATTGGTTTATCATATTAGCAGCCTAAAATGCGAACATAGTTTAGATAATAAGATTAAAAATTTAGGTACTGTCAACTGCACTAGTAAAATAACTAAATCCCCAGGTAGCTGTTGGCTAAACAAACGTTTAAAATCAAAACTCCGTAGCCTACTAGAATTAACACTAAACGAATATTTCTAAATTGAAACTTATAATTAAATTAGGCGTCTCGGATTCTTTAACGTTATAAATTTCTGATGATTTTGAATCACCTAAAGCAACAATACCTATTTTTCTACTGACTAATCCTTAATCAACACTATAACTAGTTAAATTTAATAGTTTCAGGATATCGTCATAAAGCATTGTCATAACTTGACAATCACGTAATATGACTGATAAAATTAATAAAACTATTAACGAAATCGGTCAACAAATTGACTTATAATTATCATTAAATGGTGTTGTTTTCTTGGTATCTTCATCCATCACAGATGATTACAGTATGTTTCTCTATCAGTTGCTCATTCAGTAAATATCTCAAAACCTTGTCAGTCTAATTGATGGTTTAGCGACACAATCATGCATGCAAATAATCAGTATAAGCAGTCGAGCAAATCTCCTGCAAACTGAAAACATCAATGTCGAATTTACCCCAACACTGACTAAGGTTCAAGCCATTATCATAGACATGAGTTGGGAGTGTACTCCCCTTGGTTACAACTTATGTTCTCCCTGATAATCACATGAGCATCACTCACTATTAATCATCTTGTAAAAACTTATTTAGCTAAATACATCTTGCAGCTTCACATCACTTCGTAATATGACACAGGTCTAACTGATTTTAATAACTTGTAACCACTATATCTCAATTAAATCGTGTTCCGCCTTATGATAAACTGCATACTTGCAACTAACTTGTATGTCCAATCAGCCGGCAAGTATAAATACAAGTAAATAGTCTGCCACAGATCAGAACATTGAGTCTAGAGCATGTCTCTTACGAACACACTCATGTTCAATGATTTTATTCCTAGCTATCTATCCAAAATCCATATAATTATCACTCATGTATTTAAATTTTATTTTGATAACCATTCATGTGTATTGGTAGTATTACTAAATTCTATCACGGTCAAGTAAAAATGAAGTTGAGAAAATCTCCCCGTAACTAAATAAACCGTATCAAACTAACTGGAACACTAGTTGGAATTCTTTTCCATGGTAATACTTTTGTTCTCCCAGTTAGCCTACTAATACAGATGCAATTGGAAATCACATATGGACGGGTTACCGACATAATTGTTAATTGGTTTCATAATTTAAACCAAAACTAATACCAATATTAACATTTTTACAATATTCATTACTTTAATATTTCTAAACACAAAATACTTACTACCTATACGTGAAGTTATTAACCAACGGCTATTAACACGCATTGTTTTATTATTATTATTATTTCAATCCCATTTTTTTTATAGTTCAAATAATCTTCAACCAAATTTTCATTTTAAGCGTGTTAATCATGAAAGCAGATATTTTAAGATTATTACATGTATTTCCCGACCAGATGCTGCCGCTTTCTTTTTGATTTATCTTTCAGCTTATCAATACCCGGAGGATCCTTATTATCCTTGGTAACCTTCGGCGCACGACGATCCCATCCAATTTGGTATCAAACCAACATCACGTTGATTCTGGTGGGAGAGTAGTGTAGTGGCATTGGACAATAGCCACACAATCCACAAAGCTGTGAACACGAGACTACTCAGAAAATAGATATTCAATATTTAACGCGGAGAAATACCTAAAAATGGAGAAGGCGCGAACAATGAATTGAATGGACTGGAGTTGATCGAGTGGCATGGCTCGGCCATGCAGGCGTGGTCTCTATTCATATTAAATATATTGTTCCTTCTCTAACCTAACCTTCTTCTTCATCATGTATTGGTAATTGATACGATACAGTGAGTTGGCGTAGTCGATGGTGTGACTTCCACGTAAGATCTTATAGATTAGGCAGTTATATCATGACGAATCTACAAATTTAGGATTAGGTCTATTATTAGAGCATTACTAATATCATAGTAGACTATAGTTCAACAGTTTCATGAGTTTATATTACGTTTATTCTTCTAGTACTATAGATAAGTACACTTATACAGCATTTGACTTAAACTCATTATTAGTGTGCCAGACTGTTACCAATAAATGGTTCAAAATGGTTCAAATGGTTGTGAACGGAATAGAAGAAGCTTTCGCCTAACAGGCTTCCGTGTCTAGTAGCAGGGGATCATCAAAACCTCCAGGCAGGAACCTAGGTATATTAACAATAAAAGAGGAAAAAGAAATTGGTAAATCATAGTATGATACTATCCTTAATCCTTAAGAATAGATCAAGTTGCCTATTAAAGGACTCCTCGGAAGTTGCCTGGACTAGCTCGGCCGGCAGCGAATTCCAGCATTTGACAACTCTTAAGGAGTAAAAGTTGTGTCTACAGCCCGTTCTGCTATGTTGTGTCTCCAATTTCTGGGTGTTACTTCTTAGTTTAGTGTTGGAACTAAGCTTTAGTAGGTGTTCAAGAGGATGTTCAGAATTGTTTAGGATAAGGCACCAGGAATCTCTCTCCAAAGCTTCACGCCACCGGCAAAAAGTAGTAAGTCTGTTGAGGAAGATCATTTATGTAAATCAAGAAGAGAAGAGGTCCTAGTATTGAGCCTTGGGGGACTCTACTAGGACATTCCATAGCCTGAGATAAAGTGAAGTTAACACTAACCTTAAAATGTCGATTTTTCAGACATAAAGTGAGCCAGTCGATTAGAGGTGGTCTGATACCCAATCGTTTG